CTGGGGTTCATGTGGAGGCAGCACCGTCCGCAGTGAACGCTGCTGGGGTCACCTGCCTTTAGGCGGGTGGGGGGCGTGAAGGGGGGCAGGCAGCTGGTGCAGGAAATGCTCAGCAGCCAAAGCAATGCCTGCCCAGGCTCAAGAGCGTGAACTCCCCGGTGGTCCATCTCCGATTTTTCAGAGTTGTGCTTATACTTCAGCTCCCAGTGTCTCCTGCCTGCGTCTGCTGCATGCGTCCATACTCAGTCTGCCCGCTATTGGGGTGCCAGTACTAAACAAGCTCAGTATAATCTTACTTCCCGTTGTCAGACCAAGGCATGTACTTTTTTGTTTTTCCCCACTCGAGTGACCACTTGTTTGTCATTGCTGTAGGCTTACTTCTGCTTGTGTTGGGCAACTTTCCCCTTCACCTTTCCCTGTGCTTTTATCCATTCTATATATATATTTTGCACCATTGTGTCTACTCAACATAATTCTGCCTCTCTGTTGGATGCGTGGCTGGCCTGTCCACACAGGCCCACTTTCCGTGCCTGGTATCACCCTGCTAGCTGATGGAGAGGCAAACAGCTCCGTGACTTGATGTGATGTGTCACTGCTGTGCCCCTCCTGTCCTGTGCTGAGCCCATGCTTGGAGCGCCTGTGGCTCTGTGGTGGGCAGAGGCTGGGTGACCTCTGGCTGTTGAGGGAAATAGTCCTGCTCTGGTCTCTGACTGTGTGTTTGAGCCTCCTCTTTGTGTCAGCTTTAGCAATCGTGTGGTTCTGGGATGTGGCGGAAGCTGGAGAAGAAGGTTTGAATGGCTTACCCCTGGCAGAAGTTGGAGTTCTTGTTCTTCCCTCCCTTGCTCCTGTCTCTGCTGCCAGCTTGACCCTGGCTGCTTCTGCCACGGGTTTTTCTGGTGACCGTGACTTGTACTGTTGGATCCTTCAATGAGCTAGCTGCCCTGGCAGAAGAGACTGGATGGTTTTCTGCCAGGTTAGTGAGTTGAGTCAGCATCGCAAGGGGTGTGAAACCTACTAAAGCTTATGGGGAGGAGGAAGAGGAAACTTCACTGCCAGAAGCAAGGCTAGAGGAAGGCAGTGGGGAGTGAGACCTCCCCTGAGGTAGCAGGGAGCTTTTACATTGGCTTAGCTGTTCCACAAAACTTTGCCCCCAGTTGGACATGCTTGCTAGTATATGTACTTTCTGGCACAACTAGGTTTAATGTGGGTCCATCCCATTTGGTGACAATGCAGTCTTAGATTGGTTTAATTTAACCGTAGAACTATACCATTAAATATAATGTTGTTGTGTGGTGGGTTTTTTTTTTTTATGACCGATACCTGCTGAAGTATAGAATACACTTGAGAAAGCAAGAAATTGTGACTAAAATTTGTGAGCAGAAGTGTGCTGCTGTCTCTTCAAGTTAAGACATACCAGTTCATTTGAACTCACTTTGTATCATTCTCCTTTTGCCCCTCTTGATTCCTCTCCTTCAAAGAGAGAAACTGGAAAACCCTTTGTCAAGGTCTTCTAGTACATTGTGGTCTTTCTGACAGTCTCTGATACTACTACCTTTGAAGAAATTGCAGAAAACCTTATGGTGTAATCATCTGATGCCACCAAAAAATCCTTACAACCTTTAATTGATAGGAAGTGGTTAAAATCATGAAGCAAAAATCCTGTAGTATTTCTGAAAAAAAATTGTATCTTTCATCATTAATCATTAGTATTTGCTGTTATAACTTTAGTCGTTCTTATGAATTACCTAAACCAAATACTAGAAGCCTTCTAAATGAAGTTTACTGCAGTGGTTTTATTAAGGGATGGTAGAGACAGTAATGTAGAGCAAGGTCATTACAAAGTCCTAGCGTTCTTGCAGGGAGTAGTGTGGACATAAAGCACCTTCCTGTGCTGTGTTCCTTATCTTACAGCAAAGCAGAGCTGCAGCTTTCTCCTGACCTTGCTGAGCAGGTGGGTGTAGTCTCCGTCCTTCCCATCAGTATACCTGTTGGAGCAGTTAAATAAACCTGTTGGGAGGCATCTAGTGTACAGAAATGTCATAGTTTACTTTCTTACAGTCGTGGAGAGAACTGGGAGGACGTGGGTGAATCAGAGTTCCTGAGTCACGAAATCCCTGTTTTCACAGTGAGCTATTTAAATTTTTTAAAACGTGCTACTACATACAGCTTCAGACACATGGCTTTCTTGCTTCTCTGTTTCTCATGAAGTTCATGTTGATCACTTTTGGCTTTGAGATGTAATTGGGAATATCATAGTTACCCGAATCAAAGAAATAAAGGCTTGTTTGCTTGCTTAAAATGCATATGAAGGGAGCATGGGTTGTCGCTGTTGAGTTGCTGATATGTGATAGATAATAATGGCTGTAAAGATTCACGTCAGAAGTATGGTGGGTTATTTCATAGTAAGGCATGCCTTTTTTTTCCCCCAGTACATAAACAAATCTTTGAATCATGAAGCAGTGATGGCCTACTGTATCACTAGGCTTGTAAACTTATGACATACCAGATCAGTTTGGGGTTGGAAACTTGAGGTTTAGAAACTGATTTTGAAAAGGGTAATGGAAAAGGTTATGAATTCAGCATGCTTTTGCAAATTTGCAGTTGTGGTGTGTTTTTTTTTTTTTAACCTACTTTGAAAATCATCTCACTGAGATCGCATGCCTTTTCTTCATGACTTCCTCTCTTAATGTATGGACAGACCAAAAATCTAGCAAGGAAATGCATTTGCAGTTCTCCTACAGCGTGTCGATGACTTCCCATCAAATAAAGAACTTGCTTAGGGAGGGGCCTTGGAACACTCCTTGAGTAGTAAGAACTGAGCTGTGCTGGCAAGTTCTGTGTATATAATCAGGAATTCCTGAAGTGGTTTTTTTTAATATGCAAATAGTATTGTGAAATAATACTTTCTCCTTATCTTTAAACAATGAGAATTTCAGTTTCAGAGTTTAATGTAACAAGCTTTTACGCTGATGTTTCATTTTCATTTTTTCTTCTTGTAACTAAATAACGTTTTCTCTTAATGAGTTGATGTATGCAGTGTAGCAGCCACATGAATCACTCTGAACCTAAATTTTTAGAAAGGAGAAGCAAGTTTAAGTGATGTGGAAATCTGTCTGCTGTAAGTAACAGTTAACAATCTTGATAAAGAACAAGTAATAGAAAAAGCAAAATTCTGTTGCTTGCGATGTGTGCAATTGTAAGAACTCTCTAGAAAAACCTTCAGTCTGTTCCAATCTTTAAAAATGCATCAGTAAAAAGCTGTGTATTGCTGAGATAATTTCTTTGTCCTTATCTGTCACTGTTGCTGAAGTTTAAAATTTTTTTGTATTTAATTTTGTATTCACTTCCTGAGACCCCAGCTGCAGAACAGATGATGGATGAACAAGGTAGATGAAAGAATATAAATGAAACTGTTGCCAATTACCATTCTTGGTAAATCTCAGGGGTAGTTTCTGGGTAGAACCGCTGGTTATAGCGTATGCCCTTTAAAGGGACTTGTCTGAGGAGTCTTCCATTTAGATTGAACTAAAGCATTGCTTTGTGTATGCAGGCCTGCAGTGTAAGTAAGACTGGCTTGTCACTGAAGTTCCCTGGTATGCGTGTTGGTTTTTGTCTTCTGTGGCTTTGGTTCTGGTCTGTCTAAATGGGGCCAGCTGAGATGCGCCTCATGCTTATGGGGGGGATGCAGGCTGAGTAGGTCACTCGTGCCACTTTATGGCTTTCTAGACTTACGAATTTTTTTTTTCCTCTTCTTTAGCACTGTGTAACCAAAGTTTAGTCACTAAGCATCTGTTTCCCAGGTAACAGGAAGTGTTTTGTCACTTTAAAATATGAGTAATATAAGAAAGTGAGTTATTTAACCGATTTGGAATAGGTCTGGTTCAGTAGTCAGAGGAATTATCGTATGTGCCTAACCTATATACTTTGGTCTGCTTATTACTTTCTGAAGAAGACAGAAATCAGAACAGTAATAAACTTGTCCCTTCTGTGTTGGCTTCCAGTGGGTATGGTGCTGCAGTGCAGCCTGCTTCCTAAGCTGCTGCGTTACAGTACTGCGAGTAGCAAGTAAACCCCTCTTATTCAGCATGGG